CTGTTTTAATTATTACGTTATTCATCAATATGTAAATTGGGGAGATGGATCAAGGGGGTTGGACGTCATTGACAGGATTATTCAGAGCAAGAACGGTTTAAAATCCGCAAGGGGAAGGGGATGGAGCCTCGGAAAAATAATTTAGTGAATAAAGTTAAGAAATTGTCTTCGTCAGAATACTTTAAGTTGTTTGCAAAGCATATTAACCTAAATGGTACCCACATGGAAAAAGGTATCCTCTCAAGTGTATTTTAATCATATCACCTCAATAAAAGCATTAAATATTCAAGCAAAATCGCAAATTCTAGTTAAAAATCAATTAATACATCCTTCTTAGAAAATCACTCCACTTTAATCAAAATTTACATAAACCCCCTTAAGTAAAATACCAATTCCTACCGACATGAAACAATAAAAATTAAAAACCCCAAAAAAACAATTCAAGACACCAGCTTGTTAACAAAATCTTTTTCTATCCACATGTCTTCGTTTAAAAAAAATATCATTGATGCTTAAAAACGTGCAAGTCTCTCTTGATGGATTTAATGATTAAGCCAAGGGATCCTGTATGTACGAGGGAGTGGAAGGATCTCCTGAGAATAACAACGAGATTGCGTTTTTTTAAGAAGAAAATTGGCAGACGCTGCTTAAAAAAAGTTTTTCGTGAAGTCAAGAAAGAAGATGAAGTGGGTATGGAAATAGGAGAAGGAACTTTATACATGTTTTAAATTAGATAAATACTGAATAAATGAAATTGGGATGAAGGGGTGCTTAGATATGATTTTTGGGGTCAGAGGTCATATTGATAGTTCATTTTGTTAAGGTTTGTTAAGAAAACATTTAAAAAATCTCCTAAAACTGTGCTCCTGTTGAAGAAAGAAAAAAACTAGAGTCAACAAAACTCCCGAGATCCAATTTCCAGTTTAGTCGCCTCCTAAATGAACACCTGCAAACTCTTAAGTATCATCAATTAACTCAAAACTATTGAACCGATTTTTCTTCATTCTTAATCTTTTTGATCAGTTTTGTACTTTAAATTAACCCTCAAACCCCTTAATACAACCCATAAAAGCATGATTAGGCATGATAAAGCGTATTATAAATAAAAATCATGAATATGCGTGTAAGATAAAACCTTAAAATAAGTGAATCAGATCAGCAATAAATAGCATATCCATAAAGTACTTGAGGATTATCAAATCCGCTTCTTCAGCGAAATGGAAAAGAAAAACTTTTTTTTTCCATTTCATGCTTAAGGAATTTGCGGGTTTTTTCTTGCATGAGTAATGGAAAATTGCTCAGTCGTCGACTTTTTTTTAAGCATTGCATAAATTTTCATTAAAATTTTCTTGTTACTTTGGATAGAATTTGTGTGTGTGTGCGGTCGCTAAAGATAATATTTTTCTTAATGTGCTATAACATGAATGTCTACCATAGTTTACATAGCTTCGTTTCTCATTCTCACTTATTTTGCCATCATCAACACAACTTTATTCTTCATCTTATTAATCTTTCTGGCATTTCTGCTGACAAAAATTTCTCAGCCAAGTCGCTTCATCTTCTTCGTTGATGATTTTGTAATTTAATTTTAAGTGATGCTGAACTATCGTCTAGGATGAATTTCTCATATCACACTTAAAAAAATTTCACAATATTCTCATCATTATATCAATATCGATCGACAGCTGTCGGCTAGACACAAAAAAATATATAGCATAAAAAAGAGACGATTATATTGGAATTAAATTATTAATTAAACTTTCAGGCGAGGTTCAAAATGTTGCAAAATATTTTTTTTTCTTATTTTGTAGCGATGGAACTGAATGAAAAAGCGGGTTGAATAAAATGAAAATTATGAAATCATTGTGGATTAATTTTTTTTTGAGCTTTCGCTTATTGAAGAAGCTTAAGGGGAAATTTTCTTTTTTTTATTATTCTACGATGGATGCAGATTGAAAGGGTTGAGCATAATTACTTTACTTTTTTTTATGAGATTGCTGCAGATTTTTCTGATGTTGTTAAAATAATCAGCTTTTTTGTTTCAAATCTCTTTTGTTCGGTGATGATTGTGGGAAAAAATATTGTTTGGGATTTTTTTGAGTGAGAAATTATTGAGAGTAAACCTAATAATAGCTTCAAACAAACTTGGATTTTTAAATTAAATTATCACTTAGTGTTATTAAATCCATGAAATGCGTGAGGTATATTGAGAGGGATTGAGAGCATTGTGACTTCATTTTTTTGTGTTTCTAGAGCTACCCGGGGCTACCTTGTTTCAGATTAAATGACCCGAATATCCCTAGAAACATCATGTTTAAATATATAATCCCTGGGTAGCTCTAGAACCGATCTCTGATCTAGCTTGTTTTAATTTTACTAATCAAAAAGACCTGCTGGTTCAGAATTCTTGTAAAAACTTTAACTATGTCTTATTTTAAATCCTAGGTTCTAGGATATACCTTAACATAAATAAATAGTTTCGTAGTAGACTTCCCTTGACTAATTCAAATAGAATCTTTGATACCTTCACCTGCTGACCCAGACAACCTGAAAGTATGTATTCCAATCAAGGTATCTGAACTTAATTCAATAGCCTCAACTCAGGTTAGGAAACTTAGTGGTATACCGCCAAATACCCCCAACTTCCGTACAAATACTTCCAAATACCATCAAATATCCCGAAATTCCATACAAATATTAGTTTCCGAGCATAGGCCTTAACTTCCAATTAAATAAAAACATAAAATTGATGAACATGCACAAAATTCCCAAAATATTCACAACAGCAATTGAAAAATTATTGAAACTTCCATCATTCCCCAGCAACATTGTTAATTCAAATATTCTCTCATGTACTTTAAAAACTTTCTCATAAATGCATTAACCAATTGAGAAAATGCTTTTACAACTTTTCAAATAGCTTAGCTAAAGTTAAAAGCTTCCCCAACATGCAGAAAACTTTTTTTTATCGATCCCAACATATTTCATCAATTATAAGTTTTAATTCCCCAAGTATTTTCCATTAACGGATTTCCATTCCTCTTAATCGGTCTCTATACATGTGGGAGGAAATAATTCAATAAATTCCATCTCACAAAAATCCACCTTTTAAGCTTCTTATAAGCTGATTTCAGCATTACTCACCCCCTGAACCATCACGACGAATAAAATAAAAATGATCAAGAGAAAAGAATTTTTTTGCACGCTATCGTCACTTGATTGTCGACTAGCTCAATAAAAAAAATAATAATGACATTCTTTTCATCGTTCTCGATTCCTGATGCTGCAAAAGCTCCTGTTAATATTCTCTGGAGTGAAAAATATTTCATTACTTTTTTACACCATCCGTACGATTTATAACAGCAATTTTTTTTTTGTGTGTGTGTTTTGCAAGAAGGAAGACGACAGAGTTTAAAGCAACGAAAGATAAAGTGAATGGGAATGGGCGAGAAATTTTGCAATATCGATGTGAACAGGAATAAAAAATTGCTGACATATTGTTGAGCTTTTAAGGGGGTCGTTTGCTAATGATGTCTATCAAAAAGGGAGTTTAGGGACCGCTCCTATCCCTGGCGATCATGAAGCTTCGGCTATTTATGCAACTCCACAAAGCTAGACGTTTCATCAACATGACCCCATTGCAAATCATTTCGATTGTAAAATGACAATTTACTGCTGTAACATTATAAAATGAAGACGTCAAGCTGCAGAAGTGTCAACAATAAATATAAATGCAATTTGTTCATGTCTATGACTAGAAATTTTTTTTATCAGCTTCCCCTGCAGATTTCCTTCATCTACTGCCTGATGTTATGCTTGTGTGACTGTTCCTGTAATTTTCACAATCTCGTTCTTGCTATAATTTAAACTTCCTGTGTTTGCTCTTTGTTGGAAAAAGCGTAGTCGGTCGACAATCATGAAGGCGTAAAATTTTATAACGAAGCCTGTAATTTAGTCTCGAAGGGATTGACATAATTTTAAAATGAATGAGGAAAATGTAGACGCTGGTTTCTCATTATGGATGTGTTTTTGATGTTTGATGATGCAGTTTGAGGATGGTGATGAATGTTGATTTGGCGCAGTGGACGAATTATTGGGGTCTAAATCATTTAGATCATTAAATCATTGGATTCCTAAGCTGTTTTTGCTCTTCCATTACATCACTGAGAGTTTTGATCCCTAAAAGGCACATGGCGCAGGAAAGTCTTAAAAAGTGCTACCAGTTCGACATGAGGCTGGCCTGGAGCTGGATTATTTAAAATCTCGCAACTCGCTAGTCTCAAGGATGTCTGAAGTCACTTTTTGAGATGTTCTATTGCAAGTTGAATATGAGCTATATTGATATAGCAGAAGGCATGTAGGAGATAGCTGACTAGGACTAAAACTGTACACACTTGTCTAGAGCTTAATTTTCAACTTCCTGAAACTCTAATTAACCCCCTTAAGTCCAGTATATAATCATCATAAAAAAACTCTTTTCTTTTTCCTTAAAATTTTTTTTTTATCCACCACCAAGCATCATTAACACCCCTCAAGTTCCATAAAACTTTTTATTCTAAATGACAATGATTCTCTTTGTCCCTGCCAAAGTGCACAAAAACTTCATTCTTCTGCAATAAAAAAAGCACTGCTTTTAACTTTTTATTATATCTTTAAACTTTTCCTGAAAGTTTAGACACGATGAAGGAGAAGCTTCAGAAACTTAAAGGAAGAAGTAGAACGAGAGGCTTTAAGGAATTGAAAAAGAAGAGAATTTAATAATCCGTAACATAATCGTTAAATGATAGTAAAACTTTGTAAACTTCACAGGGCATTTACACTTCTCTTCCTTGATGTTTAATTTACTTCCGTTTTTATAATCATTAAACTAATTTTCTTCATTCTTTCTCTTCTCTTTTCATGCATCATGACGTAAATTTGTTGACCATCTATCGTGTTCTTTCATCATCAACACCTCCTCATCATTGGATATTCATAAACAATTGATTGCAAAATAATAGGAAGCGCAAGTGTTAAAAGCCCTTGTGCTCGGTGAAGAGGAACGAGGTCAGAGTCAGTATCAAGTGATGTGTTTTGTAACAAAATTTCAAAAGGGTGATTTTATTACATCAGATGCTATGGCAAAATTAAGACAGGTAAGCTTTATTTCTTTCCAAAATAAAAAGGAGGTTCAATCGGAAAATCGATTTTTCCTTTTTTTGTGCTTTATGGGTTTATAAAATCGTCTGTATCTTTGAGATGAGATACGAATAAATTAAGTATCAAGTATTCCTTTTGTTAAAGCTCTTCCATTTTAAAGATAAATACCTATAGATAGGCTGCCAAGCTTAAAGAACTAGAAGAAAAAGAATGGAAAAATTTTGAGGATGAAAAAACTTTTTTTTTTGTATTTGCTGGATTTTCTCAGAAAGGCTTTTTTTTTGGAATTATTTCTCAGTCACTAAGCATTCAAATATTATCTAGAACTCTTATCTGTTGGGATGTGCTGTTGACAAAAACGGCAAGATTATTTTTGAATTATGTAAAGATAGAAAGGAACAGAAATTTTCTGTTTAAATATTTAGATGAGATTGATAAGGAACGCTTAGGTGAGGATTTATTGAGAGTGTTGTGCTGAATTTGCATTGGATTTGGACTCTTTTTGAGCTTCGATACATTTTGTGGAAAAGATTTTGAGGGCTGGAAATTTAAATTGATTTTTTAACATTGGCATGGGCGTTGCGAGGGGATCCTATTTGATCCAGACCTGACCTGAGTATAATTAGAACTATGAAGCAGCCACTAGGAACCCATTTGCAAGGTTACAATGTAGCTACTATTGCCAATGGGCTGCTGCTTGGTTCTAATTATACTACCAACCCAGCCGCTGGGTGGCAAACATTTCAATGAATTTCAATGTGTGCCTATCGGGGATGTATATTAAATTTCTGTGTCAATCTCAGTGCAGAGTTGGTGACCAAGCTACATCGATAATTTTCCAAATTTTTATTACAATCTAATGCATAAAGAACTAAGTATGCCTCAAAGAATATCCAATATAAGCAAAATACCACAAAAGATTAAAGCATATAAAAATAGCAAATCCCTCCCGATTTCACCTCAAATTCAACAACATTTATCCTCAATGAATAGGAAATCAGTAGGAAACGTTTTCTTTCCTTATTACTATTGTTACATAAACTTGCCTTTTTCCGCTTTTCTTAATTTCACTTTTGTGGCTCAACAAATTACCTTAATATCATGTGTACCACAACTTTCCTCATTTTTTGTCGATTCCTTCTTACTCCTACAACCCTCACTTTCGATTTATTTTCTTTTCATCCTTCTTTTTACATTATGTACAGTAGCATACACATACCGGAATTCCGGAATCACCACATGCAAGATATAGACATGCTTGCGAGAAAAGAGGGAAAATAAACTATAAAATATTTTTTTCTTCTTTTTTTTTTTGCTGTGTAGAAAAATCCGAGTACAATACGAACGCCGGAGGAGGATAAGGGTCGAGAGAATTTTACGATGACTGGATGGGTAAATTTGGAACGGTCATCGCCTATATCAAGACACTTATCAATTTGCAGTGAGGCAAAAGACTCCACATATGTTCGTGATGTTGATTTGAAATCATGGGCTGAATTGCCAGGTAAGTTTCTTCGTTTTCATATCCATTCAGGCTATAATGAAAATTGAGATGATGAGAAACAGCACAAAAATATGAAATTTATTTTACCCAAGGATGCCTTTTTTACATATTCATATATCCACAAGATGAGAGCTGCACACGAGAAAAAAAAAGGATTTTTGCCTGGTGGAACTTGAAAGCACAGAAAGCGGAAGAAACCAAATACAATTTTGGTCCATGTTAATTGGGTTTTATTGCCACTCTGATTCAATTGCTGCTTGGCATTTTTTCCTGTGCTTCTTTTTATCCTCCGTTTGGATTTTTTTTTTGTGTCTCGCTCACTTGACTAATATCGTGAATTTGAGGATAATGGCAAGTTTGGGAGATATCGAGGGCCATTTATGCGCACTTCAGGGAAGGTGTAAATATTTTGGGGGTCTGATGGTTAACATTTATAAGAACAGGGAGACTAAAGCTTGTTGCTTTGATGGTTTTAAGTCATACAGGCATTACCGATAGGTTACAGTCTATACTTAATAGTATATTGAGCACCAGTCACCTAGAAATGTATAACGCAGAACTCTGAAATTTTAACAGCATCTGCTGAGGATAAATTATCTAATAAGTGACTATCCTATGTCTAAGAACACTTGCTATACTATACAGCAACTATAAACCATCCTCAACATCATCATCTCCCCAAAAATTCCTCTTCAAACTCATCCAGTCAACCTAATCTCAACTCAATTTTCCCAAGACACTCCAAGAACAAAAAAAAATATTTCATCCATCCATATCCAAGCACATGGCAGTTCTGTGGTAGAACTTAATGCGGATAACAAAAATTGTTTGTATTCCAGTAAAAATAAAACAAGAAACGAAAGAAAAACTTTTGAGCATCAACTTCACTCGACAATGATGAAAAAAAAAATTTTTTTTCAGTCTGTGGAAATTGAAGAGTCAAATATACACAAAATAGACACAAAGTGAATGAGAGGAAGAATAAAGGAACTGAATTAACTATAAACTAAGTTTATATGCTAAAGCAAGCACAATTGAGAACATAAAACTCTTTTATTTTCCTCTGTATATAAATATGTATGTTATTCTTCTGTACTTCTTGCTTTTTTTTTCGGGAAGTGGAAGTGGATTCTTGAAACAATAACAGCAGAAGCAAAACTTTTATTGCTTTTTATAACAACAGCAGATTTTTCAATGTAGTTCGCATCTCACACTTTTGGTAAGAGTTGGAAACTTGGGTAATAATTTGGATGATATTGAGTGCTGAGTGAGAATCTTGAGAACTCTCGGTGGGAATTTGAATAAGATTGGATGGATTGATGATTTTTGAGAGAAGTTTTGTTAAAAACTGTGGAATAATTGGGAGAATTTTGAGGAAAACAAGAGAATTGAGGTTAGAATGGATAAAAGATCATACAAACGGTGTAGAACCAAGTTCCTGTCCCGTTAAAGCAATGGAAAATCATTACCTTATGACGTTCATCAGGAAATGAGCTTTTTTCCTTCCAAACAAACAAACACATCCTTAATAATGAAGGAGGGTTGGTGGTTTATCCTAGGATACTCTCCTTTATCCTTGGTTGCATACGATAAAAGGCCCAGGTAACTTTAGAAACCAGCCTGGAGAGTTATCTTTAAACCCCTAAACATGAGCAGCACCTAATCTCACTCCAATTAAAAACTAGTATAGAACGCGTAGATCAGTAGAATTATAATCAAGTCATATTTGTAACCAAAGACCAAGATCCAGTAAATTTTTGGTCGATGGAACTAGAAACAAAGATCCAGTATTAAAGCCATATCCGGAACTAGAAACAAAGATCCAGTTGCATATAGGTCACGTCCAACACTAGTAACAAAGATCCTAAAGTCATCGCTTCCTTTTAAAAATGAGTTAAAACCAGAGGGCGAAGTCGACTCGGATTTTGTATGGACTTGAGTTCACTCGACTTCATACAAATTTCGAGTCGACTTCGCTCTCTGGTTAAAACTAAATACAAAACTGTTTAAATTGAGCAAAGCTTTAAAGCTCTCTCAAATAAGCCAAACCCTCCCTTAACTTTCCCTAAAGTTTAATGACTTCGAAAGTTTTCATCTCAATACCACACACAATATTTATCTGGTCCAAAAAAGGAAGGGAATTAAGAAGACTAAGGAATACTAAACTTTTGCTTTTTTACATCTAACAATAATTCTCTTAAATAAGAATCTGCTACATGCTTATAGCAAATATGTGCTTTTATGTTGTTCCTTCTTACTTCCTTTGCTTATAGGAACTAGGAATAAAATCTACAAGAAAGGAAATTTCTCATTGGGAATTACTTGTTAGATAATCTTGTGCAGTATACGGACGAATGACTTTATTGAACTGAGTATAATCTCATAGTCGTATAGTTTAAATCCCCACACTGCAGTTGCTGTTTCATATCAAGGGTTTCCCAATCTAAATGAAGGAAAAATCCTTTCGTTGAATAAATTTTAGTTCAAAATTGGAAAAGGAAAGACTTTATTCTTTTTTCAGTATGGAAACGAAGCCAAAAAATGTTTTTCATTTCGAAAATGGGATTACAGCATTCAAGGTCAATAAAGTTTTATAAAATGAAATTACCTTAGGAATATCAGCAATGCAGATTCCTTTGAGAAATTCGATCTTTTTTTAAGTTCGTCAAGGCTGAAAATTTCACAATTTATGATGAGAAATTAAACTTTTCTCCTTGAATATAAGCAACATAGATAGTATAAAATGGTAGACGTAGATTCCATAAGAGGCATTAAGTGCTCTCAAAATAAAGGTTTAATAAGCTTATTAGGTGAATATTGAAGCAGGGTTGACGTGCAAATAACCAAAATAAATTTTTAATAAGGTAGCTTTTGTAGCATTTGGATTGCCATGTATGTCGTAAAAAGATACACTTGCATTTTGAATGGATGTGGATTTTTTTTTTTTTGGAGGGCATCATTGAAGAAGTTTCGTTGTCACATGACACATGTCTGGGTTTACTTTTAAGTTCAAATAGACAGTTTTGAAAGTTTGAAGTAAGCTGAAAAATGTTGAATTTGAGTTTAAATCTTTTGGCGCCTCAATAGAGTTGATTCTGTGGTTTGAAGCCTTATGTAATAGAATCTGATAGTGCAAGGTTAAGGTTCCTTTGACCGAGTAGATCAGCAACAGATCAGATTTCAAAAGCTTAATATTGTGAAGTCGTAGATTCGATTCTCATCGAAAGCTTACTCTTCGAATCATTCCATTAGAGCAGTGTTGTCCAAACTGTGTGCCGCGGCACACTATTGTGCCTTAGAATTTTTTTAAAAACACCACAAACCGTACGCTTTGTGCGGTTTCGGACATGGCTTACTATCAATGTGTGCCATGGCTCAAAAAGTTTAAACAACACTGCATTAGAGCGTTGTTCCAACCAATTTACAACTCTGCCTCAGAAAATCATCCCAAAGCCCCCAAAAACGCGTTAATATCATCACAGCTTTAATTAAAATCTAAAAACTTTTTTTCTCTTAGTTCAGATAATTTTAAGTAAAGTCATAATTACACTTGGCTCGAGTGTTTCAACAATAAATAATAACACATAGAATGTAAATTATACCTTAGCGACACAAAATGGCAATTAACAAAAACTTTTTATTTTTTCACTCTCTCGAATACTCAAAAGCACTTTGGTGAATTTTAAAGCAAGGTTCAATTAGTGAGTGCTTTAATTACTGCTCTCGCTTGTTTAAAAGTTTTTGCTATAAATTTTCTAGGAATAATTTATTAAAGAATGAAGAAGTGGAAAGTTGTTTTGAAATATTTACAGGATTTTAAAGATTTTAAGTTAAAGTTTATGATGGTTGGAAATTGGGTCGAAGTTTTTAAGAGTGAATTAGTAAGTTTGAGACTTCTTTTAATTTAAACTTCAGATAATTTAATTATTTAATCCTGAATTGTAATAGATCTGAGTGCAAATCCTAAAGCTACTTGTTTTCCAAAATCAAAAATCGATATTGACCAGGGGAAGGGGGGGGGGGGGGGGTGGCAAATACCCCGATGTTAACAGAAATTTCTTCATTTTTCTAAGAGTTTTATGAAATAATCATAAAAATCCCCCCTTCCCCCTGAATTTTCAATATAAAATTTTTTTTGTCCCCCTTCTTCAAATTCCTTGCTACGCCTCTGTTTTAAAGGCCAGGTGCCATTAAAGCCATAAGAATCAAGCCCTTACATTTATTTTTTTAAAATATTTCAAGTCATTTGATATCAAGTGTGCTGAATTGAGAGCTATGCTTACTACTAATGAGATTTTGACTCATGATAGGAAGAGTCAGCTCCTAAACTCCATTCCTATGGCTCTGCAGCTGCCTGATGCATGACACTTCAATCAGTAATCGATACAATAATGCAGAAATAAAATTTAAAAAAAATACTCAACAAAAAATCCATTTCAATAAAAATGCAGCACAAAAAAATGTTGATCCCTTTGAAATCCCCTCAATTTTCATTTCATTGATTGTTTTTTTCTGCTGATTGGCTATCCAGAATATCCAACAAAATCTCATTGTCTACAAAATAAAATGCAATCAAATCTTTTAATTTAGAAAATTTGTTTCACATGCAACGCTTTCATTTTCCATTTGCACAAATTTACTCATTGGAAACATATTGAAAAATAAAATTCTGGACATAACCATAAACCTGCCCTCTCCTCTCCATTGTTCATCGATAATATAATAACAAAAAATGTTTTTTTTTTTGTTGTCTCTTTTATTCTTCCATATCGTCAGATTCAGATAATATGTTTTGCCATTTTCATATCCAATATCTATATATTGATGTTTTTTAGTGCACATATTGCAAATGACCAGCTTTTTTATATGAAATCAAATGCAATTACACAAAAAGGAAAAAATAACTTTTGTGTGCTTTTTCGGTACGAAAGCATTTATGGAAGGTATAAATAGAAAATTGAGGATAATGGGATGAAAAATTGTGGGAAACAAGAAAGATAAGGGAATTTGAGAATAAGTAAGGAATGTTTTGAGAATTGAGATGAAACTTAAGAGCCAAATCAGCAGCTTCAGAAGCTATTCTGATGATATACTGCTGTTATTAAGTCCTTCGAATTTTATGTGAATTAAGCAGCTTAAAAATCATGAAGAAATCAAACAGAAACAATCACTAGACAGTCAGCCAAATTATAGCCACAAACCTCATTTCCACGTCTATCCTGTCCATCAATAAAAGGCACATCAACATGCACTCATGCATTTCAAAAAATACATTTTCTAGATCCAAAATTAAATTGTGTAAATAAAAGTCTTATTCTGTCCATTCTGAAAATACTTTTTTTGCTTAACTTTATCTCCTCCTGACTAATGGCTTAAAGGCAGGTAAATCGTTTTCACGTTCAACAGATTAAATGTACGCAAAAGATTGCTATCAGCATAAATATTGGCTCTATAAATGTACATGCTTGGAGCATTTATACAAACAACAAGCTTTTTTTTTTCATCCCCATAAAATGTCCAAAAATATGTGAAATTTTTCTGTTAGCTGGCAATTTTTACCTTTTACTATGTGCTGTGTTCTTTTGGTCTCGAGATAGACATAAATATGTGCACACTATTTTGTACACTTACAGGGAGATAGAAATGGCTAGAAAAACATTTATCGGATAAATAGAATCGTCTTCTGCTGTTCCGTGATGTTTATTTCTTTATTTTTTGTGTTGAGGATTTTTTTTTTGAATGTTTGTCTCTTAATATGTCGAGAGTAAGGATGAAGTTTTTAGATAGAGAATTTGAAAGGATGATTTATCAAGGAGTGTTAAGGATGGGATTGAAATTTTGGAATTAATATGTTATCTTGTGTAGTTTTGGTTGAATATTAGGGGAGCCAAAAGATCGAGGGGTTCAACATCCTATGTGTGGCACTATTCAGCCTCTCCTCCTTCAGAATCTTGTTGGATACATCCAGAGATCGATTTTTAGGGAAATCATGCTGAATACATGATTTTCTAGGTTAGGAATCATAGAAATAAATCTCAGACTAGTTGAATCGCAGTACCTCTAACTCAAATGGCTTGTCCCTTCACACACTTTACTTTAGGAATCATCGTAAAAAATTAAAATCAGATGTTTCAGTTAATTAACCAAGACTTTACTAACATTTTGATTATCTTCTACACAAAACAGCCTTTATAGCCTCAATTCAGCAGCCTGTGATCATCAAACTCACTAAAGAATCCAAAAATATTGCCAATTCAAATGAAAATCTTGAAATCTCACTCCCTACTAATCTCTACTCCACTCCTCCAATTATCTCAATAAATTTCTACACACAACAATTTTTTTCCATTTTTTGCTTATCTCAAAAAACAAATTTTGTGCCCAATTTGCTTATTTTATGGCAATTTTCATTGGCTTATTCTCTGCCATACATGACATCAATTTCTTTCGATTTTGCCTTCTTTATTTCTCTAATACTAAATGTATACATGACATGCACACATTGTGCAAGCATTTTTTATATCCAATACACATTCAGAACAGGAAGAGAACAAATCTATTGAATAAACAGTTTTTTTACTTATTGGAGGAGATTTTTAAGCTTGATTTGGTTGTTGATTTTTTTTATGACGCACTGCCTCATTTTGTTGTGACTTTGCTTACTATTCTGGTAAGGGACATGAAAGAAGGGAGATTCTGGCTATGGCTTCTTGATAAACAGGAACTGGATCTGGTCAACAGGCTTATAATCATTTTCATTATTTTTTGACCAATTTTAGTAATTTTAATCAGTTCCGTGCCCTTGCTTAATCCCCGATTTCCATAATTTTTCGACCAAATTTTGTAATTCAAAAAACATCAAAAAACTGCACATACAACCCACAATAATCCATGCAGACACATCCAAACCATTCTCTTTCGAATGATATCACAAAATAACAGTGTGGCAGCTAGCAAGCGCTATATAAATATTTGATCAGTCTCTGTCAGAGCGTAAAAGGCAAAATCCGTTGGATTCTTTTTTTTTGTGTGTATTTTGTTGTTTGTGTACGGAAATGTACAACCTACTTTATTTTTTTACGTTTTTCATCTTATCTCATTTCCATTGCCTATGAATAGTACTCATGCATGATATTAAAAAACAATCCGTAAATGTTGATTTGATAGATTTCAAGGATTGACAAATATCCGGTTGAAAATTATAAAAATCAATATTTACGATCAATCCTTTTGCTTGCTTAATGTCCTTAAATAATAATTCAATTCTTCTTTTTCTATTTATTCAGGCTCATCAATGTCAATATTAGAATCATCAGTAACGGCATTTCCAAATGCACAACAGCATAAAGTGATATCACGATGTAACGAAGTATCAAGTATATGGGCTCCATGTATATGCTCGCTAGAGCTGTGTATCGGATGGTATCCATGTGGACTAAAATATTGTAAAGGAAAGAATGATAATGCACTAAACAGTAATCAAATAAATTCGAGCTATCGATGTGGCATAAAGACATGTCGAAAATGTAATAATTTTAGTTATTATGTAAGACAAAAGCAACAATGCCTGTGGGATGAATGACCAAGAAAGATTAGTAATAATAAGACTAGAAATAAGAGAAAATTAATAATACCCAAAGCTGCCGATCCGCATTCTGTATTAAATAGATATTTACACAAAATATTTGATTTTAATTTATTATAGCCGCAAAAAAATAAGTAAAGAACTATATATACTATACACACACCATAGTCATCGTCTCTCGATGAATGGAAGCAGCACAGAATGACGGAAATTGATGAAATTTATTCGTAATTTTTCTCCATCTAAACTTGCCTTTATGTCCCTTTGGGGCGCGCTCAATGTTTATGTCATTCACAATTTATTCTTTTTTTCTTTCTCATCCTTCCGGATCTTTCAATTCATTCCCATCTTTCGGTGTGTATTTCGACGACGAAGAAGAAATAATTTAAGCTAAAGAAGAAGAAATTTCTTTCCTTGTGTGGAGCGCGCTCAATAAAAGAAGCTTTATCTCGATTATTCTCTTTTTTTGCTTCTTTTCTTCGTACTTTTGAGATGAAATCATTTCCATCCTGTTCCACCCCTCGATAGAAGCTGAGAAATCTTGCCATATACGTAGAACTTAAAGAATGTGAAATGATTTATGAGGAATTTTGGATTAAATTTATTTGGTGGCGCATTTTTTGGGGGGGAACGTGGAATGTTATGGATTATGAAGGTTGACATGCAACACTGGGTTTGGTGCTTCTCTAAATTGATAATGGTTTCAATTCAATTAGGGTTTTATGATAATATGAGTCTATAAACTCTTAGAAACCTTCAGAACCTATACTTTAATGTCCAATAATGTTTAAATCACATTTAAGCTTTAATCTTCAAATCCAACCACCAAAATTTGAGCTTAAACGATTTGTATGAACTAGTATGGTGCGGGTCAAAAAAGTTGTCAAAAGTCATAAGTGTAGACGCTCTAAATGAGGCTTAAATATCAAAATAAGGGGACAAAAATTTACAATTTGACATCAGGACACAAAGGTCCTTGAAAATTTCGCAACAGCACCCACTGTTCAATAAGAGCACCTCTGATTTAGCCAACCAGACCATCCAAAACCAACTCAACACCCTCAAAAAATGCGCCAATGAAAAAAATAAACAATCCACGCAGAATAAAAAGTCGAACACAAAAAAAAATGAGAGAAAATTTCTATTTATACAATTTTTATTGGATAGAAAACAGTCTTTATCGTCTTGCCACATCGAAATAATTGACATCAATTTGTCTATTGATAAATTAGAAAATACGATGGATGTGATTGAAGTGACATAGCGTGGAATATAATTCTATTTTATTTTTACTCACTTCCTCCACACTTTTATTATTTTTTTCTCGAAATAAAACGAGGAAATTTTCCGACTATTTTTTTTTTGTCATTCGAATGGGTACAATTACGTCTATAAAATGCAATGAGAAGATTTAAATAATTAAAGAAGTGGATTTTGTATTGTTTTGAGTGCCATTCACGATAATGGGCAATTTTTTAAATCTTTTGGGGATATAAACATTGATGTTTATAAGACTATCCTCATTTTGTGCTTGTTAGAGGACATTTTTTATGTTAATTTGCTTTCGTCATTGGACTTGATATTTATTTGATGATTTTGAGCAATTTTGAGGATTATTGAGATTGAAAAATCAATACAATTTCGATGAATTATTTAGTACAATAGAAATGAAAGCATAAATTCGATTAGTGAGGCATAAAAACTGTTATTGATGATCGTAAATTATGATTATTAGAGCGTTGGATATAAAAAGTTAAGTGGTAGCATTGTAATGATTTTTTCAAGTCTAGGGACACCAAAATTTGAAATCTACATTCAATATAATGGTTTAAATATGACCGGCTTTTAATTTAACTCCAAAGCTTTTCAAAGTAGCTCCCCTGATTTACCTTTCTTGCCATGCCACCAGATTTGACTTGCAACTATTGATATAGATTCAATTTAAATCTTCAAAGTACATTGAACCTCAGCATATGCATTTTACTCTGATATTGAAACAGCTGTCAAGTTATTCATGTAAAACAAACATCCATTAGCTATTATTTTATTCCCATAATTGAAAGCATAGAGTTCTTTCAGAATATAAATTTTAAGTTTTTTTAACATCGTTCTCGTGTGCTTTTGAAAACCTTTGAAATTCATGAAAATTCTCTGCTAATTGAAATTTCATCCTTTGACGAATGTAAAGCATTTTGAAATTTTGTGATGCAGTTTGAAGCTGGTAATGTTAACCAAAATGCTAATTTGAGGATATTGAGATACAGAGTTGTTGAAATTGATTGCGAGCTTACAACACAAGTCAAGAGTCACACAATAGATGCCTTCTTGCTACATTAATGTTCAAAAATCTCTAAAGAGACACAAAATGAAGGTTTGAATTCGATTTTAAGTTTTAACAGATGTCTAAGTTCGGTTTTCAAAGTACAAAACTGATTATAATGATCAAAAATGATCAAACTCCGATTTATCTGATTAGCACTCTTAGACTGTTGTCCTAGGCGAAGCCTTGGTCCCAGGAGTCCTTGTCCTGAATCTATTTGACCTTTTTCTTCCTAACAAAGTTGATAGCTTTGATAGAATTGAAGGATTTGATCTGATGCCTAGCATAGCCTAGCATTTACTCATTCTAGTTTCTTTCATAGATCTAGAGAAACACCAGAAAACCACCCAGAATTTATAATTGATTCAGCTCATCTCCTTTTTCATTCATTGCCATTTTAAGCATAATTTATTTCATTTTAGTGAATAATTCATGCAACAAAGTAATGATTATAAAATAACTATTTTCCATAACAAAAGCTAAAAGATGACGAATAAGTTTTTACCATGGCAAAATTCACATAAATCTTTATTTAAATTTCAAATGATGTTTTCCACTTTTTTAATTGAAAAACTAAGGAACAATATTCATGATAAATATGAGAAAGATTCCTTTTTGTTTGTGCTGAAATCAACTTTCAAAATAAAAATAAAAAAAGTTTTTTTCAATTTAATGATGAAAGCAAACAACAAACACAAATATGACGATGATGATACTGCAGCAATAGGAATCACAACACAAGAAATAGTTTTTTTGCTTGATGAAGTGAATGTGCTTGTGAGTTGAAAAATTACGAAAAACTTTTTCCTACGCTCGAGCATTCTTTTTAATAAAGTCGAGAATGGCAAAATAAATATTCGACATACTGACGCTTTCTAAATGAGCAATGAATGTTTGTCGACATCATCATAATTTTCAATGAATGAAGTCAAATATAAGATGGAAGAATATATAGAATTTAATTGCAAATAAAATTAATTTTTTGTGCAAATGAATGAGAAAAAGTTGTTGTGATGACTCAGACTAATTAGGTCCTTTCATTGAGAAACTTGGATGGGGAAGTGATTATCAATGTGGAAAAATATTGAAGACAAAAAAATTGGATTAGGGGTTCAGTAAAGGATCGATTAACAACTTTCAGGGAGGTTGAAGGTTTAGTTTTGAATACTTCCCAAGCTAAGTGTCTAGCCTTAATACCTAGAAAATGAAGATGGACATGCCTCATCATTAAAACCAATTTTTGTTAAGCTTCAAATTCTCAGACAAACTAAAGATCCAGTTTGAATTCTCAGACAAATTTAAAGATCTAGTTTAATTTCTCAGAATTTCTGATGATCCAGTCTCAATTCTCTGTCAATTTTGAGGCCCAACTTTCAGTTTTCGAAAAAGCTAGGGATCCAGTCTTAATTCTCTGACAATTTTGAGGGCGAACCTTCAGTTTTCAAAAAAGCTAGGGATACAGTCTCGATTTTCAGACAGGTTCGTGATCCAGTCTCAGTTCTCAGACAACTTTTGGAGGTCAAGCTTCAATTTCAGACAAATTTAAGGATTTAGCCGATTTAGCTAAGATTCTCAGACAAAAAAGAGATACAGTCTCAATTCTCAAACAAATTTAAGGACTAATCTTAAATTTTCGAATAAACTAGGTTGGAATAACAATTATTGAGGGTACAGTCTTTGAATTTCTATTAAAAAATCAACAAAAAGAATTTTAAAAGTGTAATAAAAATGCATCCCCACACGACAATCCGAAAAAAACTTTCATTCCAATATGCATTTAGAAAACTAATTTACGTATAAATGCATTCCCATAAAAATCACTACAAAAATAATTAATGCAGCAAGAAGCACTTCAGAATCAGAAACAAATCGTCTACGATGAAAGGAAATAATGAAATTTAAAATGATTCAAATTGCAAAAGTAGAAAATCAGTAAAGTGAAAATCTCTTCAATGTGCTTAGAATTTTTAATTTCATTTGCACGTCTCATTACATTTCTTTTACTTCTCAGAACTTTTTTCTTTCTTTTGTCGTCTCTTTGTTCATCTCCTCTGTCATTTCTCCTTCTTTTTCGGAGGAACTTAAATGGAAAAAAAATACTTCAAAATTAATGATTTTTTTTTGCACCCTCAAAAGATCAGACAGACAAAAAAGAATGTGAATGCAATGCAGTGGAAAATTGGTGAGGTAGACGATGAAAAGAAATTCCTTTTTATTTACACAAAAGATTAGCTTCCTTTTCTTATTCATTCAAGCATATAGCACAATGGCAAACAGTGCAATAAAATATCATGAGAAATGTGAAGTCTCTCATGAGTGCACGGGTTTGGGGATGAAAAAAAAGAGTGGAGCTTTCAGATTTTTATGAGAAAGTTTTCACATAATTTTCCAGTGCAAAACAGAGTGTAAAGTCCTTTCACAGACTATCGTGCAGGAGAAGCACATCACACAAAAAATATAGTCGGCAACTTTAGTCTCAGTAGCACTTAAATCCTTACACTATGAATAATCCGGTCTTTCTTATTTTCATCTATCCCTTTCTTCTTTTGTACGTATGAGAAGCTCATGGAATTTTTATTATCAAAGCCATTTTTTTCGCCCTATCGATAAACTTTTTTTTTTCACGTCTTCTTTTCTTTGGAAGGAAACAATGACTAGAAAATGAAATGAAGAAGTT